TTAGTTCAGTGCGCATGTGCAATTTACCATTTCATATCACACAGGTTTATACGTCACAATTACGATGATAATAGGTGTAACTGTGTCATACCAGGGAGCTTTGATGTGTGGTAAGTCTAGGGTACTTAATGGACTTACGAACCGCTCTCCCATTGTATTACTCACGTAATACATATACTAAAATTGGAACGATACAGAGAAGATTAGCATGGCCCCTGCGCAAGGATGACACGCAAATTCGTGAAGCGTTCCATATTTTTCGAATCTTGATACGCGATCCTTTTTACAAACCCTTATCCTAACGCCTGGTATATGATGCTATTTCTTTTTTAATTTCGACGTTTCTTTGGGGGCTGCTTTAAGGCAGTTCTCTGAATGCCAGCACGGCTATATATAGGCCTAATTTAGGTAAACAATAATACAACGTCATAACAATCGCCGCTTAAAACAATTCAATGCATTGTTTTTGCTGTTTGATGCCAGTATTATAGGTTGAAGTGCCGAAGAAGGTTTCTGAAGGCAATGAATTGCTAAACAACTCAATTACGTCATAATTAGCAATACAATTGACATATATATGCTTCCACAATGCGACGATAATTGCACTTATAACCCTTCCAACCGCATCAAAACTATTTGTTGCTATTATAGGCAGATGGATATTCACTTATTAAAAATTTTTTTGGGTGTAACTGTGTCATACCAGGGAGCTTTGATGTGTGGTAAGTCTAGGGTACTTAATGGACTTACGAACCGCTCTCCAATTGTATTACTTACGTAATACATATACTAAAATTGGAACGATACAGAGAAGATTAGCATGGCCCCTGCGCAAGGATGACACGCAAATTCGTGAAGCGTTCCATATTCTTCGAACAATTGACATATATATGCTTCCACAATGCGACGATAATTGCACTTATAACCCTTCCAACCGCATCAAAACTATTTGTTGCTATTATAGGCAGATGGATATTCACTTATTAAAAATTTTTTTCCTCTTATCGTCAATTAGAACTTGAAATTGGCCCTCTTTTCCAAATGACGCTATTGAAGAACGCCTTTTCACTTCGGCTGGATCACATTGACATTGAGAAATGACTAGGAGTTTACCTCTAGCAGACGATTTTTCTTTCTAACATTCATACGTATTCACCTATTAAACAGGAGACCGAGATATTATCCTGTCCTATCTACTACCTATCGCCACATCTTACAGGCACGTTCTATGGTCACATCCATTAAAGGGTAAGCGATGTTTCAACATCAAATCTCCCCTCCTTTCTCTTGTGATTTTCGCATGTCGGCGACGTTTACAGAATAACTACTTTGCCTTGTGCTATTTCTATTGAGTTCAGTGCGCATGCGCAATTGTCCATTTCCTATCACGCGGGTTTGTTTATATGTCACAATTACGATCATGCTAACAATGATAATGGGTGTAACTGGGTCATACCAGGGAGCTTTAATGTGTGGTAAGTCTAGGGTACTTAATGGACTTACGGACCACTCTCCAATTGTATACTC